TCTGTCTCTCTGTCTGTCTGTCTGTCTGTCTGTCTGCCTGGCTGTCTGTCTGTCTGTCTGTCTGTCTGTCTTTCTGTCCGTCTGTCTCTGTCTGTCTCTGTCTGTCTGTCTGTCTGTCTGTCCCTCTGTAGGTGGGCAGATATGTATGAAAATGTATGGAAATGTATGTCTGCATGCATGTATGTTTGTATGCAGGTAGGTGCATGTGTCTATCTCCATCGTTCAGCTTCCTCCATCAGAAGATGAATGCTCTGGGTCTGCGGCTGGATCTCCGTCTCTTTCGTTTTCGCTTGGACTCCTCGCTGTCGGAGTTTCCTGGATCACTTGCTGTGCTTACGCCATCAGCACAGTCAGCTTCTGTCTCTGATCTGCCTGTTGGCACGGAGCCATCCTCAGAGAAGCTCATGAGCCTCGAGGCGAGCGAGATGGCGCATGGCGACACCTCGCCAACCTACCCAAACCCAATCTGGAGCGCGGCCTGCTGTGCTGCAGGGTTTTCTGTTGCTCCTGGCCAGGGTGAAGGGTCAGGGTGCGCGATGGCAAGTTCTTGGACCTTCTTGAAGAGATGGAGGTTGGCGAGTACCATGCCCTTGATCTGCAGTCCGACCTGTGAGCAACACCAGTGCACTTTGGCTCGCGCCAGATTGTCACAAGCCTGGCCTTTGAGTTCATGCCCGAGGTGAACTGAGAGGACTTCACCTGTGAATACTGAGTTGCACGGCGCCATCACCAATTTTCATCTTCCTAGTTTAGTCAAAGCAACCCAGAACCCTGTGGCTGATGAAGGGGTCAAAAGACACAAGCTACGCATGCGCCAGAGGCCAAATCATCAAGTCTGCAGACCTCTCAAGAAATTGCCGAACCCCCGTGGCCCAAGTAAGAAATCTGCAGTTCACGGGTCTCTACTCTGCCGAGCGGCAATATCGTAGATCGTGGGCATGGAAACCCGGCCCTTCGAGGCCAGAACTAAGGCCTTGGCATGTCACATCTTCGCTGATATCACGAGAGGGCACAGCCGGGACCAGGACTTTGTGCAGCCACTTCAGGCGCCCTTCTGGCCTTTTGTGCACAACCTGGCAGGCAATCAAGCCTGCAGCCTACCGCGCAGCCTAGTCCTAGTCGGCCTCCCGCTTGTCCATCGCCAGATCTGCCGCTTCCTTTTTCTCTTTTTCTTGTGCCTGGTATCTGCAACATCCATCTTGCTACCAAAGCTGGCGGAAAGGTGGTGGAAGGGGCATCAAGTTTGTCTTAGCCCATGTGGCTTTCTCTATTGATACTACTACCAGGTGTATCAACAGCTTGTCGCATCAACACCGGGCTGAATCGGGCCGGCCGCAGAACACAGGCAGAGGCACCTCGTCAACCTTGACTTCCTTCTTGTGCCGACGAGACATGACCTGGCCAGATGTATAGGATGCGGATATTCAATAAGCAGTAGGACCAGTTCGGAAAACACTAAAAACTCAGGAAACGAATTTCGAAAAACACGACAGTCAGTTTCTGTAAACGCGCGCGAAACATCAAGAGCGATGCAGGAAAAAAGTGACACCTCAAAAGACAAGGCACATGTATCTCGCGTCTTCGGCCACACAGCAATAGTGAGAACACAGGTGATGCTCAGGATGAGAGGATCGCGTGCGGATGGTGGTCGGTGAAGCAAACCTTCTCGTAGAAAGCATGGACAGCTACTTGAAGGATCAGTCGAAGTCGAAAGCAAGCTACCCTTTTCTTCGAAGCACCGCCCTCAACTCTGAGAAGGAGATGTTGGCTGACATTCCCGAAATGCCAAACGCAGGTGATGTTGGCTGGCATAACGCTAGAAGAAGACATTGGTTGCAAAGCCCCAAACCCCAAAAGAAGATGTTGGCTGGCAAAGCCCGAACCTTAAACGGAGTTGCTGGCTGGCAAACCCGAACCGAAAATTGAAAAAATGAAAACAAAGTTGTTTCCGCAAAACAACTCACAGGATGAGGCAAATAAGATCGTCGCTGGCAAACCTCGAACCCTAAAAGAAGAGGATATTGCTGGCAAGCCCTAAACCATAGCATTACATTTTTCCAAATTGCGTTGGCCCCCAAAACCTGAATGTCCGATGGCAAACCCTCAGCACTCAGAAGGAGATATTAGTAATTTTCAGTTGACAACCCCGAAACCCCAAACGCAGTTGATGTCTGGCAAGCCATAAAACCCGAGAAGAAGACGTTGGTTGCAAAGGCCCAAACCCTCCAGAAACAAGGTTGGCTGGCAGAGCCCAAGCCTTAAAAGCAGATGCTGGCTGGCGACATCCTTAAACTTCAAAGAAGCAAGTGGCTGCCAAAACCTTTGGCAAACCTAAACCATATAAGCTTAAAATAAACAAATTGCGTTGGGCCAAAAACCTTGAATTGTTAGTGGCAAACCTCAATATTTGGAAGGTGATGTTGGTTGACAACCCCGACACCCCAAATGGAGATGTTGTCTGGCAAGCCCCAAGACCTTAGCAGAAGACATTGGTTGGCAAAGTCCCAACCCTGGCTGGCAAAGCACAAACCTCAAAAGGAGATGCTGGCAAACCAAACCCTAGACCTTTAAAGGAGATGTTGATTGGCAAACCCCAGAGGCTATTCAAATGCCTCTGCACTTCTCTTCAGGGTGCCGTAGGGCTGTGCAGCAAGAGGAGCAATCGCACCAGCCAAAGGAGATGAAAGAAGCACCAGCAGCAGCAGCAGCAGCAGTTCCGAATTTGGCCCTCAGCGCGTGTCGAATCTATTTTCTGAATCCACGACCCGTCTTTCTGAATCGACCCGCATGGTTTGCTGAGTTTGTTCCCGAGTGGGGGCCACCCGTTTTAGAACCCACTGCTGTCCAAATGCATCCTTCACTTCCCGAACCCGAAGACCTGCCCTACAGCGCCCTCAGCTGTATGCGTACGGAAACGTTCTTGCCAAGTCAGAAGCTCGTTGCGAGCGACGCCTCTCCTGCCCATTGCTCGTCGACTTTGGTGGGATCAATACCAGCCTGAGTTCGTGCCTTATGTGATGATGCCTGCAAGTAACACAAAAACTCTCCCACGCAGTGTCTGTCAAGAAGCAGCACGCATTCGGAGCTCATCGCCCTTCTGCCTCTGGGCTTCACTCCTGGAGGCAAGCCGGCAGGACGAGACGGTTGTCAGTGTCTTTGTCAACCGTGCCTGGAGATCATGACCCCGCTGCTGAAGGAAGCCATCTTGACTGACTTTGATGTCATTTCACGTTCAAGCTCTCGCGGTACGTATGGTGCTTGAGTCAGGGTTGGGTTGCATGCATTTCAGTTCAAAGTGCTGAGGCTTCGCGCAGGGCAGCAACAGGGCTTGGTATCTCATTCTGAGAGTTTCACAGGGCCCGCTGCTAACTTGGCAACTGCCTGGATGAGTGGTTGGACATGTCAAACGTCTTCGAACGTGTTGATACTGAGGCACTTGCACGGGGATTCTGGTATCCTAGTCATGTTTCGAGCAGCTGATTCCAGCGGCCGGCAGACGGCTTCCTAAACAGCCAACATCCCTTTGTCCCATGCTCTCGGTAGATGCAAACGGGCAACATGAACTTCGTGAATAAGCACAAGGTCACTTAGTCACTAGGCATGCTTCCTCAACTCTTGGTTTTGTCGGGGTTGAGTCGGATCCATCCGATACGTCAACATGGTTTTCTCTTCCTAACTGGACTAACCGACCGTCCGTTCCCACCCTTCCCGACTTTTTTCGCCATCAGATGCCATCAGCACAGACTGTATGGAGGCCTGCACCACAAATGCCCAGCACTTCAATCCACGTGACTTGTGGGTGCACTTGGCGAAAACAGGTACCTCTTCCCAAGGTCTCCGCAAAGGTGCCTTCGCGGAACTCACGAAGAAGCGGCTTCCGCAGCCGCTTCCACATCGGCCTCCACGGTCTCCTCCGCAGGCCGACAAGCCCAAACCCGACGACTTCAAAAGGATTCGGCAGCTCCGCAGGTCCTTTTCCAAGCCCTTCACGCCATCGCCCTTGTCATCTCCATCTTTTTCCCTGCTCGCTGCACTCATGTACTCGTGAATCTGTGACCGAAAGAGATCAAGCCCCGGACACTTCCACGAACTCGCTGCGGTGCGTCATCCGAAAGAGCCCCGCTGCCAGGAGCCCGCCGAAAAGCTCCGAAACGAGCAAGGCCTAGCAGTGTGTCTTACATCAAATGCGGGTGGCCCGAACCCAAGTCATGGAAATCGCCGAGGTGTTGACCACCCAGCTTCCAACAGGACCCATGCCTAGGATGGGGACTTGGGTGCGCCGTCTTCAAACGTTTGCGCTCCTTCAGCCGAGTTGCCGCCTTTGCCTCGGCAAACGCAGGAATTGCGGGCAGAGGCAAAATACACCAGGAAGGGTGCAAACGGCAACATGCGGCGTGCAAGAGAACACGGAGGATCCTCCTGAGCTGCGCCAAGGAGCCGGGGTTCACCACGTTTCCAATCATCAGGCCAAGGACCACAGACGGATTAAGCTCACCTGGCCAAAGGTTGGTGAACTGTGTGACTGCCTGCAAAGCTGACATTTTGCCGTAAGAACCTTTGACTTGAAGTTCAACTTGCCGGTACGCTTACGTGCCTCTGAGAAGTCTGAGAAACGAACAATAGGAGCATCGATTCAGACAGAAGTGGCAAAGCCACATAAAATGGTGAAGAAAAAGCTGTTATCAACTTGCCTCGCCCACTGCTCGCACGAGGCTTGTTTTACGAACCTTTCTGCCACAGCCAGCCTATCTGTCCGGGCCCCCCAACCTCCAGAGACGGAGCCCACTGCAAAGCTGCCACCAGTGACGGTTGAGGCAATGACGAGGCCAAAGAGGTCTTTCGCATAGGGCTCCTATATGCAAGACGAGAAAAGTATTCCCGAGGTCCAAGGTGCAGACAGCAAGCTGTTTTCATCGCGGTCCCTCACGGTAGCGATGCAGAGGACAACATAGCCCAGAAACCTCAGCTGCAGGAAAGCATACAGAACCCAAGAGACCAGTTTATGTATGGAGCAGCAACATTGACACTGCAATGAAGCCCTCCCCTCCAGGATCGACTTCGCCTCAGTGATCAAAAAACGCAGACATCAGCCAAGGGTCATCGTGGTGACTAGTTCCGCGATCGATGCCTCTGCAGAAGCTTGAGCAGTTGCACAAGACAGTGGGTGTTTCTAGGAATACTGCTTTTTCCCAGAAGTGTCAGTCAGGAGTAGGCAGCAGCTTAGCATAGCTTAGCTTCGGGTACCGAACAACTGAATGGCTCTTCACGGTCAGAGGCCTGCGCCAGGTCGAAGCCCCTTCCCGGCACCAATCTGGGCACATGCTCTGAAATGCTCATGCTGCCGGTTGTCAGTACTTCAGCCAGTGGCTTGATCGACTTGTCCGCAACTGCGGAGCCCATGTAGTAGGCAGCGTAAACCTGCGAGAACCGTGTACGGACGGAACGGATGTGCATACGCAGAAAAAAGCATCGTTAAAGAACTGGGCACTGCTGCAAAGGCGTCTCGGTGCCGTCCGAAGAACACATCCCGCGAGCAGCCCACCAACAATCTGGGCCGTGATGTAACCTTCCGGACGGGCTTGCTCTTTAAAACTCGCGGTCGCAGGTTTGAGGAAATCACGGCAGCTTCTGCAACAAAAAGATGGTTGAACCATCTGGCACTGCGTGCACTGAGCAATGAACTGCACAAGCGAACGGTTGAGATAGGGGATGAATGTGTGACCACAAACAAGCCTCCTGCGTCACGTCGCGAGATTTTCTCACGGCCTCCTGCAAGCACTGCCAGAGTCACCTCGAGGCACCAACGGCAAGTGAAGGTGTCCGCTTCACCAAGGAAGTTTTCTAGCTGCTCTTACTGGAAAGTTCGAAAAGGCGGTTGCTCATAAACTATTTGTAACATCTCACTGCTTGATTTTGCTTCCTCTGCTCGCACTTAAAGGCTTTAAGCTAGCGATAGCTAGCGGCTAGCACAACTAAGTTGCATTGACAGAACGTTGTGGTGTCTGGGCTTGCGGCCGCCGGATTGAAGTGAGCTCCGGAAACATTTCCGAGAGAGTAGATCATGCACCTGCTAGCGCGGGCGCGGGACACTGTAGTCTGCAATTTGCCCCAAGCGTAGCATGTCTCAGAAATCCCAGACAAGGCACATGAGAGCCGCAGCGGCAGAGTACGCCGTGGCACGGGAACCGCTGACCTCGCAGCCCCCGAAAATCTCAAGCTGAATCAAACCTTTCCAACCTGGAAATTGGACAACTCAAGCCCACAAAAACTTGCGGCCTCCGACATCTACTTCAGACAGAGGCGGCGCTGGAAAGCATTGATCGACGCGGCACACAATCAAACACGAAGCCTTAAACCGTAACAATAGGGCCTGAACGAAACTTGGCCGAGTGGAAGGCTAGTAGATCTTAGTATCATGCTTCGTTCGGAAACCATCAGAGCAGGATGCGATGTTCAGGCCGACCGTCACTACCAGCATGAAGGTGCCGAATGCTTCCTGCAGGAGCGATGCATCTTCAGATTTTATCAGACTTCAGGATGCCCCTCCCCATTGCAAGACAAGGCACAGCCAAACAACGCGTCTTCAGATCTGGCCGATCAGACGTGGATTTCCCGAACCTCAGCAGTGGAAAGCCCATGCATGGTTCGAAGCCCATTTGCGGCGAATTAATCGTACAAGTAATGGGCTTTGCTCCAGTACTCGGACGGCTCGCAAAAACTCCGACGTCTTCTGCAGCTCAAGGCTACAACAATTGTTTGCGTGACGAACCTGGGCTGAGCTGAACGTACTCATGGCAGTATTCATATGTTCTGCTTCTGGTCTGGGCAGCTCCTCTGGCCGCAGTACTCGATAGGCTCCAGCCGCCAACGCAGCGCCCGCGAGCTCGGCAGCAAACCAGACCAGGGCCCAGTGAGGGTCCTTGCCGCTGCCGAGGCCCAGAGGAAGGGAGACTGCTGGGTTGAGCGCAGCGCCAGAGATGCGCCTGAGATTGCCACATGGCCAAAGCTGAGTTGGATTTTAAAAGACTTCTCGATTTTTTTAAGCTGAACTTACGACTTGCACTCTCCTCTCCTCTCTAGGGCCAAAAAGCCCAACAGCATGGCCACCAGCAAGGACGACAAAGCCGATGGCCAGGCCATAAAACCTGAGAGTGCTTCCCTTGCAGAGCATCCTAGCTTTTTCCTTCAGCAGCCTAGCTTAGACTCAGATCATCGGTCACGGACTCACTCGACTGCCTGTACTTCTGAGACGTGCCGAGGACGGCCCCCTATTAATTCTCGTCGCTGATTTGGCGTGTTCTTCTTCGCCACAGCGCAGCACAGCACAACGAACACAAGCATGGCCTCAACCAGGAAAGGATGCATATTGCTGCATGACATGGGTGGGGTCGGCATCGAGGTTGAAACGCTCACTGTCCAGCACGCGATCCCCATTTTCCTGGGTTCCATGCCGTGTACACCAGCTCCCCGCCAGCCGCCTGCGGCAAATCCAACCGTGCTCGGCAGGCTTTGGGGAGGCGTGCTTCTGTGAGCGGTTTGGGTTGGACATGCAAGCACTCGCACTTTGGATCCGCTACAGCTTGGCAACATCCTGCAGATAATCCAGTTATCAATGATTGGAGTGTCTCACCCTAAACCATGTGCTGAGGCATGCGAGCGACAAAAATGTGAGTTAATGCTCTTTGGAGCTATTCCATTCCTTCACCTTGGTGCTTTTAGAATTGACAGGCGTACCGCTGTGTCGACCTGGATACGGGAGGAAACAAACACAACGGTCTATGCAAACCAAGCAGTCTCCAGCAAGCTCCGATAGGCATACAGAACTTGCAGCTTATGTTGCCCCCGTCACCCAGTTTCAGGGTCTCCGTAGCAAAGAAATGAGCACGTTCGTTTGCACTACTTTGCAGGTGTATCGACAAAGTCCAAGTCAAAGGAAACAACGCCTCCTGAGTCCTTGCTAATTCCCGCTGTGCTCAGCAGCGTAGAGTAAAGAACAATGGCACCTTTGCCACCACTCCTGACACCCCCCACCCCCGCCCCACCCCACTGACGCAAGCCATTCTGGAAGAGGAAATCAGCTCGCAGAGGAGAGCTTTCGTGACTTGGGGAGACTCACGATTCTTAGCCAACATGTGCACCGAGCTGGTCGGACGACTTCGGGGCTTTGAGGTACGTGAAACCCGGGTCAATGTCATAGGCTCGTCTATACACTCAGATTCAAGGCCTTTGGAAAGGGAAGAGACTGACAGGGGAAACTCACATCGTCACGAACTCGGGCTGGGACGTAGCCGGCGTTGAAGGGTGGCACAGGTGCCACAACCGCCAGATGGGGTGCACCTCGGCAAAATCGGGTTCCATGTAAAGCAAAGTTTGTGCGAAGAAATTCCTTGAAGAGTGCATCGCCAACACCTTCGGTAGGACACGACATACTTGTGGAGCAGTGTGCAAGGCTGCCAGGTTGCAGACGATCTTGTAGACGGCAGCGGCCGTGAAAGCCCCCATAAACTGGAAGAGCCAGTACGTCACCATCCCACCAAAGGACCTCTGTTGACTCTGTCTGAGACCTGGCGAAATTGTCTGGAGCCGCTACCCTGTTCCCCTCGAGCTTGCCCACTTCTCAGCTTCATTGATGGGAAACTGATTAGCCACTGAGACGCATCCAAGTGAGCCAAAACGCTCGACGAAGGCCTGAGCATAAAAGGCCAAGAAGCTTCTTTCCCAGCAAGGTCATTGCGAAGGTCACCGCCGGGTTAAGATGCCTCAATTCAAACCTAAAGATGGGTTGCACAGGGATTGGGGCAAGGGGGCCGCTGGCTCCCAGTCCAACACTGCAGGCGAATACCGAAATTCAAGCCATTGACCTGAAATGAAGTCCATTTCTCAGAATCGTCTGAAGAGCTGCATGCCCGTGCGAAAGGCACCATGGAAAGTCAATGCAGCCGCAACACCCACCCGAGATCGGACCCGTGGCGTAGATCATCACCATCAGCACCTGGCTTGAAATTGTGGCATGGGGGGGGCCCTCCATCATAAAAAATGCCCGGCACAGACATTTTCTTGTTGAGGCGTGCTGGCATCCGAGGAACCGAGGCAATCGAAGTTGCAGACCATGGAGACGGTGTGGGCGAAGTAACCTCGGGCTTCATTTAAAGACTCGAAGTTTTGCCTTAGCCATATTAGCCGACATTGGCTTTGCTTCGTTAGTGGGTTGCCTCGTCTCGATGGCTTTGCTTGTATCGCAGCCTGCTGTTGCCAACTACTTGTAGGACCAGGAGTTCTCCGTCTCAAAGAAACACTGTCGTTGCCCACATAAAGCCCTGGCCAGCCACAGCCAACAAGTGCGGCTTTTCTCCGGGAAATCAAGTTCTCATACTTCTATGTACAGCACTGTTCAGACCGGTGGCGACGCATCCGACCGTGAATACCAGCGCAAACGTGCCAAGACCTGTGCAGCTGCTTGCACTCTGATGCACGTTCACATCTCCTCCAAAAGATGACCAGCACCAGCATACGTTTCGTAAAAGAATCACCCTGGCTCTTGAAGATCTGACAAGCCCCGCAGCCACATCCTTCGCAACATCAATGCCAAATCATGGCCCTCAAGCAGTACTCGGAAACTCTGCCCTTGCCCGGCTGCCTTCTGCAAAAAGGGGCGCCAACCTTCGCAGTGCTCTCAAATCTGCGTACGAGGCAGAAAGAGCCCTCAACTCATGTGCTCCCGACATCATTACTATCTCTCGGCTTTTCTAAACGGCCATGTAGCATCTTGTTGACCTGATTGATCCAGTTCGACCGGAAAAGACCCTCTAACGTGCGGCTGGAATTCCCCTTGAGAAAGGCGTTCAAGATGATCTTCATGTACTCGTCGGCATTGCCTTGTGCAAGCTCTTTGACATGTCGGCTCCCAGAGGTCCGGCATGGAAGATGGATTAGTGCACGGCCCAATGTGACGTGCTGGTACTCTATGCACAGACATTGCAACATGACTTTCCCAAGACACGGAAAAGTTCTGAATTTGCTCACCCACAAGTGAATCCGTGCGCTGAGAGAAGAAAGCACGGTCGCATGCCTCTAGGTCCTCCAAGTCTCATGTTATGGGTACCGTCCTAAGTGCGCACCTGTCCGCATGCTAGCTTTGGACTGCGTGACCGAGAGGCGCATGACTTCATTCAGGACCTCCTCTGGAGAGAGCCGCGGCCCGTCACCGGCCTGCCTGGAAGGAGGACTCAAAACGCCCGTTTGGCCCCCTAAACACGGTTCGTTCGCATCTGTTCCAGGGCCTCCCCTGAGCATCAGCAGCCGGGGTCGAGCCGTATGCAGCATCCGCTTGGCCTGAGGCGTAAACACAGCAGGCACAGCGCAACGACTTGCGGTGCCGAAACCGGACAAACCACACCGATACCCTTCAAACAGAAGATGAGAACTGCAGCGTCCGAATCGGACCTTCCAGCAGGGCTCGCTCAGGAGCTTCAGCGGACTGTGCAGAGGCCATTGCGAACCTCGATGAACCTCGGCACCCCAAGCTGCATCTCAAGCTGTCCCCTCATCACTGTTGGCGAGAAAAGTGCCTGTTGCAAAAGGACTTGTATCATCAGCCCATCCTGTGACGGGACTGAGATGGGCAAGGGCAAACATGCGGTCAAGGAGCCAAGTTTCAGTCAGCTTCGTGGGTTTTCGAAGCGTTGCTTGCGGTTGAAAGCTCAAAGCTGCCGGATGAAACCACGCTGACCAGTGGGTTCGGGGCCCGGCCCGTACGATGATGATGCCAAGAGAAGCCCAATCGTCAGTTGAAACCGCACATGCAATCTTGGAGTGAGAACTCACTCGACATTCCGTGCTGCAGGCGCACACTGAAATCGTTTGAGTTTACATGCAACCTGCGAGCCTCTTTGGCAGTCCTTCTTCTTTTGCACAGCGCTGCGAGTTGCCCGAATTGTGCAAGCAGGCCATTGAGGCTTCTTTTCATGTCGGGCTTTCCGTAGATTGCAGTGTGTCGTTTGGCAATCTTGCGTCATCACTCGGACGCATTGGGGCCAGAGCTTCGAAATGCTCAGTGCTTCGGAGGGCGATGTCTTCCAAGGTAAGAGGTTACGCCGGATTTTCCACATATTCACGTCATGGCTGCTGCTCTCAAAAGATCATAAAACTTGTTCACGTGCTGGCGAGCAAAGCCCAAATGGCTTTGCCGCTTGCAGCCCCTGCTTTGCAGTACTCCGGAACTGTGCACTGTGCACTTCCAGCTAGTACCCTGGTCTGCTTCGCACAATAGCATGTACCGGTTGTTTTTAGACTATCCTTGTAAACAGATGGAAACTGACCAGGTCTCATCAAGTCGACCGCCCAAGTGGCAGCAGGTGAGATGCAAGCAAGGATCATCAACATCACCTGAGCCCCAAAGGCAGGCTCTGCGGCACGCCGGCAAGATTCACAGGATTGTAGGTAAACCACCGCCACCACAACCATGCTGCTCTATCCCGCTGAGGTCCTGACCCAAGTGCCGCTAGTCATGCGTGTGCTGCGTAAGCCTTCACGGGAACCATTGGGTGCATCCACGCTGCACGGGCTTTCTCCAGAACAAATTTACAAGACTGTATCGAGCAGATGACACCGGAACCAGCCCCTGATGCTGCACCACTTCGTGCAAGAGTTCACTGGGTCGCCAAGCTGTTTGACAGCCGACCAAGAGGTGTAGACAAACAGCACGGAACCCAGGAGAAGCACAGCTCCACCCAGCGCCTCAGCATTGATGTCTGCAATGGTTGTGTCATTTCGGCACACATGGACTCAATGGTGCAACTATTGCTTTGCAAGGAAGAACCAGTGGTGCACATGGACTTCCCTCAAAAAGCAGGAGCCGGACGCTCTCCACTTTGCCAGGTTTGCAGATCTGAACGAAAGGATGCAAGATTGGAAGCACAGAGTTTGGTGGATGCTTGACATTGTGGCATTTCGGCAACTATCTAGGTTGCGGCACGGTCCAGCAGCTGCACGTACAGAGCAAGACACAATCTGCATCGCCTTGATGTAGCAAATGATGGGAAAAATGAAAGCCAAAGGCACCTTAGGCACAGCCCAGTCTCACACCAGAAACTTCGAAACAGAACGTTCGGAACTACGTCTGCACGGCATCTAGGCCCCTGGCACAGCAAAATGACCCAATCAATGAGATAAAAGCATCAATTCGATCTTTGCCGAAAAGCGAGATGACGGCCTCATCGGCAGGAGTCTCCAGCAGCGTCAAGACTCATCAACATTGAAGCATCGAGTCAGGAATGCCAAGAGCAAATCAAGGAATGCACACAGATTCTCTGCTTTAGCTTGGTCACCTTCATGCCGCTGCGAAAGCTCAGGAGTGGGCACAAGTACAAATCAAAAGTGTCCTGGCACGAGATCTGTTCTTCTTCGAATGCACAGCACGCCAGCTTCGATCACCACTCATCGCTGAGTTCAACAGAAATGACCATTAGAAACCATGGAAAAGTGTGCAGACGACTCTTCACAGAGCCTCATGCTGTTGATCTTCAACAGCGTCTGAGGACCTGAACACCAGTGTCGACATGCATGGACTGCAATGGCACCGTTGTACATTGCAGCGCGCCCTTCGCCCAAGGCTACAGCCAGGAGTTGAGACAGCTCCAAAGAGCAGTGTTTCCAGGAAAGTCGCCGCCTCAGCGCTTCGCGCATGAGAATCGACGGAAACCTGGATCACACAGGCCCAAACTGGAATGAAACATCGCGGTGCAGCTGGGCCGTCCGACTGGGAAGAGGAAGAGAGGCACATTGAACCTAAGACTTAAGCTAACACCACGAGCAGGTGACGGCAGTGGCTGCGTTGCGACCCAAGAGAATGGCTGGTACTCGCAAATTGCTTAAAGGCGACGCCCTCTCTGGAGCCACACAGCTTTGAACACCAGGGGAACGGCACTCTTTGCCGTGCTGGAGGTCTGGGGAGCAACTTGGTCTCCCGCAGTGATGCCAGGGCAAAGGCAAAGGGAAGCACATGCCCGACCCTGGTGCCCCTGCGAAAACAGGATCAGCTCAGGAGCACTGTCATGTCTTGCTCACGTGGAGATTTATGCTTCCCATCAGCTTCTTGGGCCCTGACTTCGGCAGGTTCAATGTGATTACGTCCCTGGCAAGGTGCACTGCATTTTTGATGCCTGGTGCATGTGAGTGCATGCAAGATAAGATATGCGCACACCTTGCTGAGGCTGGGCACCAAACACTTACAGTACCATCAACCGGTGGAGCGATCAGAGACACTTGAAACACAGCTACACTACACAACTGTGGGTCAATGCACAAGTGCAGTTGCAGTTGCCACCTGGTTTCCTCACCGTAACGGAGGTAGTTCACAGCTCCGAACCTCCAGGGACGGACAGTGATGGCACGAGCTGAGATCTTTCCGTCGAACACCTTCCAGCGTTTTAAGCCCCGGGCACGACGAACAAGACGCAAACGCCTCGTCCGGGCTGCGGACTACGCAGGATCTGAACTGCGAGATGGCTGATCAGAAACGCACAAGGCAAACGACGGCACTGAATGCAGCCAAGCTTCCAAGCAAAGTTGCCACAAGAATGGGGGCAAACCTGTCTTTGGCACGTAAAGCTGAAAATGTTGCTTGTTGTCCAATTCAGCCAGTCTTGGGTCAAAGTGAACCGACTGCAAACGAAAGACCTCCTCACAACTTAGGTCTCAGCGTTTCTTTCTGCTCGTGGGCATCGTACCTCAATGAACCACATCTGATCACGCATTTCGTGGAGCCCCAACTCTGTTCGGGCCGCAAGCATTGGAATGACAAAGTTGATGCATTCGAAGGAAAACACCACCGTGCCAGCGAAAACCATCCAGTTGGGACCTCACGAGAGATTACATTCGTCGGGCCCCGGTCTACTTTACAACCCCGTTTCAACGACACAGTCTGCCGGCGACAATAAAAGGGCCCAGCCAGCCAGCTGAATGCCGTGGCCAACCTCATCGCCTGTCACAAGCCCGAATTGAAGCGTGGCGATGCGTGGCGTCTTGACTTTTCTGTGCTCACTTGAGGCCCCAGGCCAGCCAAGCCGACGATCGCGTAAGTCAGCCTCGGATCCGACATAGCAATGAACGGGAGCTACCATGTGTCTTGAGGTGCCCGCAAGATGGCGAGGGCCAGAAGGACCTATCATGGCAAGCTTCCAAACTATGCTCTGCTAGGCTCTGCGACGTTGAACACCCTCTGAGGAAAGGTCCGTGGTGTTTGCAATGAGGTTAGATACCTGGCCAGACCAGGTTCTGCAATGACTCCGTTCCCACTGCCCCACAACAACATCGACTGCTTCCCGTGGCTCAGGCCTGGAAGTACTTGAGCTGCCGAATCCACGACATGGGGATCACAACAATAAGCTGAAGAAGGATGATGTTTGCTTCGGACCTGAGTCTCTCAGTGATCAACAGATAGAAGATATGCAGGAATACACAGAAAGTGGAGGAGGATGGACCATTTATACAGCTTTCCAAGCTTCCAACCACATGGGAGATGACAGTTTGAGCGCCTGTGCAGTGCAGGCCACGATTGAACGAGAGTCAAGTGTGGAAAAGCGCTTTCCTTCAGGGCGCCGTGGCAATTGAGCGCCACATAAAGTATCTCAGAACCTGGGACGGCAGAACAGTCTAGTCCACTGATGTTAGTACGCAGCTCGTGCAGCTTAACGGCGTCACTGGCTTCCATCCTCTCAGCTGCTGGCAGACGAAGCCGGTCTGGGAGAGCAGTATGCTCAGATCCACAGCCCAACTCCCGATCGGCCCTATGGCACGCCTTCGCAGCTCGGGATAAGTCTTCGACAGAAGCCATGAAGTCAGGCAATACGTGGCAGGCTGTTCAAATCTTCGGCATCCCATGGACTGAACGACATCAGATCCTCGTTTGCCCTTCTACGCAACCAGAACTGCAGCAACACCTGACTCAAAGACAGATCTCTTTGCGAACAGCTGTACACATGCTGAACTTTGGCCTGGCTATGTCACCGTAGGTTCCCCCACCAAGTGCACGAACACACCTGTGAAAAGCCAAACCAGACTCAGACAGGAAAAATATGCAGATCGTTGCAGCATGAAATCAATCCGGAAGCGCTGTCTGCTGCTTGCAGCAGCAGAAATTGCAAGTGTTTCTGATATTGACTTACGCATCACGCACTCTCGCCGAGTGTGCCATTGTGAGGATCTTGCCTCACGAGGAGAACCATGCCTCAGACGCAAAGCTGTCCCTGCCAGTCAACGAAAGTGCTACCGAGCAATGCCAGCTCTCGCTTAATTCTTCTTTTTGCACAGAGGCCCCCATAGCTGCATCCAGGGAACAGTAAATTTCAACACCGCCGATGAAGATCAGCTCCCTGGCCAAGACTTTCGGAAAGGCTAGTGACGGCTCGTGCCCATTACCGTCTCAATAATAATCGCCAGACTCACAAAGGAGCCAGAAGGATCCCCGTCCGCGAAAAAGCACCGGGGATGATGATCAGAGTACCACCTGATAAGGACTATAAGGACTCTGTGCAGGGTTGGGAAGCCTCAGGGGAACAAGTTCGAGTGACCCAGGGCTCAAGTAGTGACTAGCACTTCGCATGACATCAGCTGCAGGTTTCTGCAATAGCTCTGCACCTCACAGTCAGGGTCTGTGAACAAACGAATTGTCTGTGGCAGGCACTTGGCCAGCGAAAACAACGGATAGACATCTCCTCTACTTGATGCAACTTCGTGCAATCGAGAGATAGCAACTAGCTCCCGGGGTGAATTTGTCTTGCAGCTTGCAAGTAAAGGAGACGAAATGAAGATGTGTCCGCAAAATGTCGAAGCCTATGGATCGTCACTGGGCGGATCTTACCGTGCCAAGAGGCGTATGCCAGCTGCAAGCATGGCACATTGCCCCTAAAGAGTTGAGTCCACGATGCTGTCATAAGCCGGAACTACAAGCTGACCGTGGACACATTGGAAAACGAGAGTAGTCATTAGTCCTCAGGTGCTGTGAGAGCTTCGAGATAGGTCGACACCGAAGGTGAAAGTGCTCCTCTATGATGCCTCCGACTCTGCTGCATCGAGCAAAGCTCTGTCTTCGTCACTCGACACGTTTGTGGCTGTTGCATTGGCGACAATCTCCTCAGCCTCCATTGTTGGGGGAGCTGGGGCAGAGAACTTCTTCACTAACACATCCGGGACACCGGACTCGTCCCTGACGATCATAACCTCGTCGTCGAGGTAGGTCACCTTGCATCACACTTGCGCCAAACCTACATTTCTACTGACCTACTCGTGTTCACCTGAGACAGCAATGCCCTTCGCCAATGGTTTCGGCTACTGAGCTACTGCAGCTGGGATCTGCAAACGCAGAGACTCCAGCCCTCTGGCTACAGAGCATGTCCTAAGTCCCCAAGCGCAGCGACGTGGCAAGGATGCTTCGGCGGAGCTCCAACGGAAGTTCTTGGCTTCCGATAGGCTCAGGCAGTTTCACGGAAACGACCTCCTCGCTCATTCTCGCCGAACTCAGGGGCATCAGCTCTGCCTGTGCGACACCGTGTCGCTCACAACCCTCTGCAGTGTTTTGCAGAAAGCACCCATAAAGCAGCGCAAGCTTGCAGGGCGGTCCCCACTCACTCACTTGTCCGAGACCTAGACTCCGGCTCTCTCCTTGTCTCTAGCTGCTGCTCTCGCTTAGCACACGCGCCCCTGGTCTCTGTGCGTCTGCTCTGCCGAATTTGTGGATAAAGAAAAGGGTGTCTCTCTTCTTCTTCCCCAGGGCATAGGGGCCGGGTCAGACCCCCCGGCCTATTGGCCCCACATGTTATGGGGCTTTCGGGGTGTGAAAGTTTGTTCTCTCTCTCTCTCTCTCTCTACTAGGTGGGAGGCCGAGGGAGCGTCCAGCCCTGAACTTCGCCGTCGGTCTCTGTCTCTCTCCTTCTCTCTCTCCGGACCTTGTAGTTCAGAGTCTCCTTTCGGCCCGCAACCTCAACCTCGGCGGATGCCTCCACGTCTCGACCACCGGTGATCTGCACCGTCTTGGACCCAAGTTTCACACCTGCTGTCTGACCCCAGAAGCCCTGGGCGAAGGAGGACAAGGCATTGCCAAGAGAGAAGCCTCCGCCGTACAAGAAGAGCGCCAGCTCACGCGTTGGTGAGGACAACAAGCCCGGTGCGTATGAGCCGGTGTACTTCACCACCCAGGTACCGTCCAGGTCCACGGAGTAGACGGGCTCCTCGTTGGTGTTTAGCCTCTCCAAGCGGATGATGGCCTCGTCCACTCTGCCGCGCATGGGTTTCCCTTCGGGACGAAGAACCTCTTCCTCTAAAGAGCTGTCCTCCAAGAGGTCCATCAGCCGCTCCTTCGCATCCTTCAAAGCACCGGTTGCCTCGGCTTCCACCTGCACATCTGTGACGGTGGGGGGCCCGGCCCGCGCAGCAAGCCGCTGCAGGCGGCTTGAACCGCTGAAGCTCGCCACAAAGCTCAGCGAAGCGCCCACAAATCCTGCTGCAATGAGGGCAGACAGTGCAGAGGCTCCGCGACTTCTTCGCTGTGTCACCGCCATGTCACGGATGGAGTCCGACGCCGGGGGCTGACAACTCGCAAGAGGCTGGAGCCCGAATGCAAGAAGGATGAAGAGCCCTCAATGAGCTAATAGGAGGGACTGTAGCCAAGACCACTGCATCATCAACCCACACCAGAGCTTCCGACCCACAGTGGATTTGAGAATGACGAGCACCTCGACCACTGCAACTCACTCGAGCAATCATGCCTCTCAAGCGACGGAACTTTGTACCTGACTGGCCCGGATGAGAGCCAACGACGCCAAGGCCAAATGACCCCCACGATTGTTGCAACAAGTGACTTCTCTGTCCCCTGTGCGCGGCACCGTCGACAGGTTGGAGGCGCCAACACTAACCGTGGATGCCGAGGAGGTCTCGGCCTGTACTCCATGCAGACCAGAAGCCACCTTCCGCCCAGCTCCCGCCTACCAGCTTTGCGCCTGCATCTCCAGATTCTTCGCAAAATAGTGCTGCAGCCGTGGATCAAGCATCCTCAACCAAGGCAAAGCACGCTTCGACCTCACGATGGATTTTTCGGGTCGTTCTGAGCGCTGCACGACTCGAGCAGCGGTCGCTCTGCCGCAGCATTCGGCGCCCGGCGCCTGGAGACAGGATGACCAGGCGGCGTGGCGGCGTGGTCATCTGCGGCGCTGCCAAACATCGAGGGGAGCACAAGACATGCTCGCGTCGGAAGCCACCTGGTTGTGCGATGTCCTTGGGAATCCGCGGATGGTCTTTGATTGCGCATGCTGAATCAAAGACTGACAGATGAGACCCCCCGGTTGCGGGCGCTCTCGGCCTCCCGCGCTGGCTCGGCCGAGCTCCGGAAACAAGGGCTCGACTGGCAGCAAGAGACGTCGAAGTCAGAGCCCAGCCCGGATGTTTCTTCGAATCCCAAAGCCGACACGGCAAGCCACTTTGCCCAGCCTGGCAGCTCTGGAAGGCTCGGAGAGCGCTGACAGCGGACCTCTGGAGACGACACAGCACAGCAGGCTCGGTGCAACGGCGGAATTCGAAAAAGGCTTCGTGCTTCACGAAACGTTTCTGATATCGCGCTTCAACGGGACTTCTGGCCCCCAAGTCGAATCCGAAGTGAGGCAGGGGCTGGGGAAGGTCTACATAACCGGTGCATCTCAAGCACCATCTTTGCCTGCAAGTCGTCATTCTGGCTGAAAGCCTGCCCCTGCCCAGGCTGCTGGCTAGATCCATGACTCAAGATGGAATGCACTCTGCCTGGCCCTGGCGCAAAGAACCATTCCTACTCAGCGACTTCTTGAAGTCCCGGACGACTTCGTCCTGAGAACACTCTGGAAATTCATTTCCCACCCACATCATACACAAAAGCTGCTCCCTCCTCTGCCATGGCTCTTGGCTCTTCGTCTCAGAGGCAACGAGAGCGCCTCAGTCGCAGCTTGCTGTTCAAGCTACTGGGAAATTGGAACGGCCTGCCAGCATGGGCTACATGGCGGTATGTCAATAACATCGTTGAACTTCGTGCTGGTTTAGTATGATATGGTCTGCTGGAGTTCTGGCACCTGACACCTGGATGCTGGGTTGGAAAAGATCAGAGTCCTACCGAATGCAGGGGATGATCTTTTCCATGCTGAATGTTGAAAAAGCTGACATGCATGGAAAGACTCTGCTCTGCTCTGCCCTTGTGCTTGAGCCGCTGGAGCTCGACTTCGGACTTTGCAAGAACGCTCCTTTGGCATCCGTCTTCGCACTTTGAATCTCCTTCTCGCCCTTGTTTCGCAACCAAGCAAGATGGCCAAGTGATTGGATTAAAATGAGCTGGATCGTTCTTAACAAGGCAGCGTCGACAGGCATCTGTGCACTGCGGAATATACTCTCAACATTGTTGTCGTGGCTTGTGCTCCAGATTTGCGAGGATTTGATGTCGACTCATTTGGGTACCGGGTTTGGAGGGCCGCCTAGACCTCAGAGGTGGCAGCATAGGACCACCACGGCTTGTGGAACCGTGCAGGACGGAGTCGGACAGAATGGATCGCTACAGTATCCAGGCCATGGACTCCCTTCAAGCCGATCTGTCCTGGTGTCCTCAGATTCCTCTGTGAAACTGGAACATCCGTGTCGAATGAAACTACTGCTGTTCATACGCAATCAGGTGCCAGACCGTGACTCATCCGCTGCTGTCGAATGGTCCTCATCTTCAGCTGGTACCTGATAAGCCACTGAAACAAGCAGCATGCATCGCAGGACAGCAGGCCAGAGCAGAGTTGTGAATTCACGCAGGGAGCACAGAACCGCGACGATCCCCGTCGGAAGGAAGAGCAGAATGCAGGTGACCAAGGGCAGGTTCCAGTACCTGACGGACTTCCGAAAAAGGAACTAGAGTAACTAGAACTCATCGGCTGTCGCACACAACACATGCAGGAATCGGTTTGGCGGCTTCACAGCTGCAAATCTACGATTATGTTGGCTGGTTTTGGCAAGCTTCCTGCCGCATCCCCCCGAGAGGGGCACCATCTCCCTGTGGGCATCTCTGCAGATGGGATAGAGGCAAGCGGCGCCTCCTTGTTGTAACCTGACTGCGCGGCTTCTTCCCAAGATTCAAGCACGGTTCGGACAAAAACATTCCAAGGGCAGAACCTGTCTCCCACGGACTCGGCATTTGGATCTTGGATGGAACACGCCGCTGTGAATGGAAGAACTGTCAGCTATTCGAAAGCCGAGTTTTTCAACAGTCTTGCAGTCTGATGCATTTTGTTCAGGCAACACGACAGCTTCAGCAGATTCTCCAACGGTTGCATTCCTCTGCGTATTGACCAATTGCAGAAGAGAAGCTCCGCCAAACAAAGCCAAAGGAATGAAGGACAGCATCGGCAAAAAGTAGCATGTCAACACCTTGACTGTCCGTGAAGCATCAACCATCTAATTACACGACAACACCATCACGAAGTGCAAGACACATGGATCCACTGCGTCTCTAAACACCTGTAGTTTCTCTTGTTGGGATTTGTTTGCTATAACTTTCACGGTCAGATATACCTTTCATTACCATGTGACGGAAGGGCACGACCCGCTTGTCTGATGATCGCAACTCACACTCTGGGCAGCATGCCAAACACAGGAGCCGAATGCCACATCTCTGGCAAAAGTTCAGTTGCCTGAGTGTGCTTCAGCATTACTGGTCCGAGCTGTGCAGGAACACTTGCTGTTTTTGCTTCCACAAGGACCGCTGCGGGCCCTCGTCCACGTCGTCTAGGTCGCCGATGCCTGCAGCACAGGATGTACTCGGACCCGGTCGCCGTCGACAAGTGCACATCGTGTCGCAGGTGAACATTGTCATCCATTCCCGCTCACATCTTCCTGGCCTTCGCTCTCCATCTGCAAGTATCTTCCACCTTCTTCCCGTTCACATTCAGCCATCCTCAAAAAGCATATGACAACAAACGATTGTGCCATACCCTCGAATCTCCATGGTATTCTCGCATCAAACTGAGACAACGCAGCAATCATGGCCCATAATGCGTGAAATTCTGCACAATTCGCGACATTATACGGCTGAAGTATGCTGAGGCCATCACCTGCTGCGAGGTAACCAAAAACTTTTCCAAGGACCGCGCCAAGCAACACTGCTTTCTACAAGTGAGCCGCAATGAGCCACGTACACGATTGAAAGCTTTTGTGCAAGAACGACATCGAAATAAAACCATTGTGCACGCTGGCGGGTCTAAGCACAGGGACCTAAGCAACAGTTAAACTCGTTCAAATCTGAACCTTCACAAATGAACCTCAAAGCCTCCATATGCTCATCGTTTGACCGATGGTGCAACGTACGCCCGAGATCTGGCATTATGAATGTGTTTTCTGCTAATTGCTTCGTTATGATTTCCGCGATCACCCAACTCCAAAGGCAGCATGCATGCCAAAAGTGGTGCGAATCTTGCACTCTCCGTCCCATTTTCATATTTTTCAAATGCTGGTTTCAGCATGTTTCCAAGTTTTCCAGCTTCATGTTCATCGTTTTTAGGTGTCACCGGGTCGTGTTCAGTGCTTTGTGGTAGTCTTAACTGGAATTGGTTGTCAAGCAGCGCGTGAACAAGCCCTTTTTTCAGAAACTTCATTGTTCATTTTGGAAACACTCTAAGCGGTTGCTTCTCCCTGTTGTTTCAAAAGTATTCTCAACTTCCATGTCGACTGTCAAGATGGCACGCATTAACTTTGACATGAATCATGTCGACACATACCCTGCAGCAAAATGCATTCTCTGCTACTTGAAACTGAGACCTTGGTCATTTTAAATTCCGAAATATGCACGAAGGGTACAGACGAATGTACAATAAAACCAAGATGATCCACATGCAAGCTAAGGGAATGGCCTCAAAAAACTGACCGTCCCCAGTTGACAGTTTTACTGCCTCATAGGGTATCCAGAAAGCAGCTGCACAGAAGACAACTAGGCACTGGAGGGTGGGTATGGCAACACACAGCGGAGCCCGGGACCAAAGAGCGCCCTTCCTCCAAGCCGAGAAGGCTACCCCAAACATGAACAGTGCCAGTGCCGGAAATTTACACCAATCCAGCAACCATTTCCCCATCCCCCTACCCCTGGACTCTCTGAGTCCCATGGAGAGATACTGAGGCAGCTGGGCCAATGGCGCTGCACAAAGCATTGCGAGCACATAGCGCAGAGTTGGAGCCCCCGAGCCCAAGGTCTGAAGAACAGATACGCTCAGCTGTTCCCGCACCAGGGCATCGAAACCTTGAAACTTTGCTTGGCGCTTGTTGGCGAACATATCTTCTAATTTAGGGTTCCAAGAAGGTGCAAGTACGCCACAACGAGAACCTGATTTTTGATTCCAACGAATTCTTCCTTCCTCTGCACCCAAACATTCCAAAGCCACTCTCAACTCAAAAAACTTGCAAACCTCTCAACAAGCCAGAAACGATCCAAGCATGTGTCTGGATCGCCCGTTCTGGTGTACCACCTTCGAAGCGTTTGGAATACCAGCGCTCGGTCACAAAGTATGGTTTCACCTGTCACTGGGTTGATGTGGTTCCTTGGATGCACGCGGTTCCCCGACGCAGTGGTTCATACCTGGAGTAATTTTACAGGGGGCTACTTTGGGTGCTATAATAATAATTGCAATAATAATAATAATAAATAACAACAATAATAATAACAATTATGTTATTCTTTAGATCCAATCCAGGGTCTGGTTTCAATGTCTTGGAGCCCTGGAAACCGCACTGCTGCAGATGCTGGTATGCATAGGAGCTGTTAGAGTATTCATTCCCGAAAACTTGAGCAGATCTTCCCAAGAGCCAAGGTGCATAGCGCAGCAGGAGCAATCAGCTTCTCTTATGCTGAAAGAGGTCGTCTGTTGCTTGAGCTTCAGCACTTCTCTCATGTGTAAGATGCCAAAGTAGAATTGCGCTGGTATGGCAACGAGAAAAGCCGGAAGAAGAAATGTCAGAACCGTAGCAATCACTCCAATGGCACCCTGGAATCCGAGAGTGACGTTGTCTGTTTCAATATATACATAGAACTGAAATATCCACCAGATGAAAACCTCCAAGAGAGCTACCGACCACAAGAGCATAGCCATGGATACGGGCACAAATTCCACAGGCTTCACTTCCTCATCCTTAAGCCAGGAAGCAATTTCGAATGTACACCATAAACCTGGGTTGCTCTTTACTACCTTGCTAAAGTTATAACTTTTAGTACCCCTAATATCAAAAAAGGCTAATCCTAAAAGTGATAAAGCTATACCTGTAACTCCAATTACCTACAGATTATAATGGGTTATACCTACTAGCTAGGGGGTTAAAACTGCTAAACTGTAGGTATTTTGGGGTTACAGGTAAAGTGACAGTTAAGTTCAACCAAGAAACGAGAGAAGTATCGCGGGCTCCAAAGGATGATTAGTCTCTGGGACTTTCCCAAGAAAGCGGCCAAGCCCAGTATTCCCCGGCGCTTCAAGTCCTCGTCATGCTGGGCCTGGAGCTGACTCAGGGGCCCTATAAAATTAACTTTTTATGGGCTATACAGGGTTCTAAAGGGAGTATAGTCCATAATAATAATAATAATATAAAAAAAATATTCCTGGGAATAATCCAGGGGCTATGCACAAGCGATCCAGAAAGACCAATATAGATTTGCAGCAAAAGCAGCGACGAATGCGCTGCCAGAAAAAAAGCACCAAGTAAAACACACAATATGTTGATGCACTTGCAGTGGGCCAGCCACCAGGGAGACGATCCAACCAAAGCAGTCCACACATCACCATGTTCAGGAGCAATGCGGCAAGTGCTGCGTAAATGGAATTGAAAGCAATCAGAAGAGCCACCGTCTTTGAAAACCTGGACGTCCTCCAGTCGTGGCTTATAAAGGCGGCAATCTGATTTGTGTGCTGGCTCAGCTCGAAACCCTTTCTGGCTAAAGCTGCAGAGCGCTGCCCGGTGCCGAAGTGCAGGCCAAAATTCTGCAAGCACATCTCCAGGGCGACCCCTCGGATTAAGTCAAGCGTAATGTCTGAAGCCAGGGATGTCACAGAAAGCCGTCGTGTGGGGGACACCTCCACGTCATCCACGTCAATGTTGGGTATAGGCTGCGGTTCTGGACGCCAGGGGGCCATGAGCAGCACGTCAATCAAGAAATGTGAGGGTTCCTTATAAAAAGCATTCTTCTATATTGGGGTCTAGATTGGGGCCCCCTAATTGTGGAAACTCCCACATATCCCCTTTCAATCCAATATTTTCCTCGCACAAACGCCATTGAAGAGGGATCCCTGAGCTCGACCCAGCAGCATGTTAAAAACCTTTGAGGCTGAAGGCCGCGCTGAGGGCTCCAAACAATATGGTTGCAATCGGAGGCTTTCTCAAAGTAAAAGTGCGTCAGCGAGCCCATGAATATCCAACTAAGAGCCCCTACGTAAAGCATAGGACTTAAAGCCTAATTTATGGTGCGCCCAACTTAGGGCCTTTTTTCTTGCCTTATAACCAGGGAGCCCCTTGTTGTTGTAGGGAGGTTGTAAGGCCCCTTTTCAGGAATACTAAGCCTTATAAACCCCAAGCCCTAAACCCTTAAGGCAGAAAACGCCAATTTTGATAATCTTGCATCTAAGTTCAGTTGCTTAACTGCAACTCAGGAAGCCCTCCGCTCTAGCACCTGGACCCCCAGGGTTTAGGGCAAAGTTTAGGGTTTCGGGTAAAGAGTTGAGGGTTAAGGGTTGGGGGTTTAGGGGTTTGCAGGTTTAGAGGTTTAGGGGTTTGGGTCCAACTTTAAACTTGAACCCATACTCTAGCTTAAACGAATTTTAACCCATAGGTATTTCTCAACAGAATCCTTGTTGTAACCCCGTAAGGTACGGGGTCCCCTAAAAACCCCTTAAAATCCCGCTATACCCCTTGAAATCTCGATCTAGGCCCTCCCCCCATTTTGAGAAACTCCCATATCGGTGTCTAATTCGAAGGACCCCTGTTTCTGGAATCCCCCAAACCCTTAAACCCTAAACCCCTAGAACTTGCCAGCCTGATCCTTTTTATATGGGAGTTTCTCCAAAATTCCGGACCCCAAAGCATACATAGATAGGGATTCTGGGGAGTATGGATGGTTCCTATCAAGGATTAAAAAAAGATTACATAGAGAGGATATAAACAAACTCCCATGAAGTGTATTTGGGGTATTGCTGTGCAACAAAGGGGATGTACAGGGGAGTATATTGGGTATACTTATAAGAATCTTAGCCAGCTACGCA